CAACGAATTCTCTACAATTACTACACCCAAAATAATAATATAGAACAAACAATGAACTAGAGAAATTACAAGAGATAAGGGGATATTTTGATGATATGATCGAACCTAGGATTACCTAGATTGCCTACGTATCCTGCATGGAGAGTGGGAATCAGGTCGGAACGTAGTTCTGGCAATGAGAATTGGATCTCTATTTTTGGGGACTTTGCCCTTTTTTTTTCTCTCTCTTATGGATGGTCCTGAGCCCTTTTTATATAGGTTAAACCATAATCGATTCCTTTTAGGACTCGCATTGCTTATCCCTTAAGAATCTGACTTACATCATACTTTCCTTACAACAAGGATTTACATTATTTGGTTTTTGTAGATAATAATTCTTCTTCTAATAGAATTGTTAGTAAAATGGGTTTAGTAATATATTCGTAATTGGACTTGGGGTCTCATCATCTCGGGCCTTCTTAACAAGTTCGGCCCATAATGATTAGTTGACCCGACCCAAGCTTCTTGTAGAAGCCCAATATGAAAGTTGAATAGTCTCAGTATTTGTGGTGGTCCCTTTATGAGCTGATATGTCTTGCATGTCTTAATTGGAAGGGGAGATTTTTGCCCCCACATTTACCCTATTCATTTTTTATGTGTTTCAATAACAAAATAACAAAATTAGTAAAATAATAAAAAAAAATAAAAATTCGGATCGATCCGTTTTAATTGAGTAATCACTCTTTCTCTTTTCTCTTTCTCTTTCATCGATTCCCAAATCCACGCCCTCATTTCTCCATTGTTCTTCTTCTTCTTCTTCACTTAGTGAAGTGTACCACTAGTGAGCAGAATAGGATAGAGAAAATTCACATTTTTTTTTCTTAGATAAAGTAAAAATTAAATATATTAATATGAACATTATTGTATAAAAAGACACAAGGGCATGCCCTTCGAAGAAGCATCTCAAAATAAAGATAAACACAATATTGAAAAAAAAAAAAAGGGGCAAAACTCCAAAACAAGGAAGCATCAAAAGTCACCCAAAGCAAACAACACGGACCAATCAAACACCAGGAAAACACACAACAGAAGCATGAAGCCCAAACTAGCACAGTAGCACAACACCTTTCCACTGCCAAACAAAACAACTGACTGCAACCACCAAGCCCTGAAGCCAACGAACTACCAAAAAATTACAACCTAAAATTAGGGATCGAAAACACCAAAAGCCGCCCAAAACTACAACCTAAAATGCGGTAGAACGAGCAGACTCTCACTGCCAATTAAATCATCGTACCACCTCACCAAGCTCTACAGCCTGTAATCAGCAACCGAGCACAAAGCACAAAAAATTGATTACCATAAACCAAACACAAAGTACAAGAAACAGAGAGAATCCACATTCTCTTTGCAAAATCACAATTATTTTGTAGTAACACTAAATCAAATAAAGCACAAGATATGTAAAATATTGACATGGTGGTAATAGAAACTTGAAAGGCTTTGTACGTTTATTCAATGGTCTATCCGAAAAAGCATAGGAGGGCGTGGGTTTGGGAATCGATGAAAAAGAGAGAGAGAAAAGAGAAAGGGTGATTACCCAAATCCGACTTTATTTTTTATTTATTTTTTTTAACATTTTTATTGATTTTGTTACTAAAGTTGATGTGTAATTTTGTTATTGGAACACATAAAAGGGTGAGTAGGGTGAAGCTACTCACCGATGAGTAGCTAAGTATTATACTTCAATAAATACGTATCAAATCAACCATCATTTCCTGACCCGCCACTCAAAACCCAGCAAAATACCCAAATCCCAAACCTACTATTCACTCGTCATACCCATTACCCAAACCCTAATTTTCACTAGGAGTGGGTTTGGACCTATTCGAATCCTATGGTTCCACGAAAATTTGAAACAAACCGAACTGAACCGATAAGACCAATGTAACCGAACCATTCCGTTACACGGTACTTGGGGTTTGAATATTGTCGTTGGCTCCGATGGGGCCCATTGAAGCTACCCTTTGTGTTATAATTATTAGTTAATTGTTACTGATTAAGTTGCAACTCTGATTCAATGGATGCTAGGCGTAGAAGGTGATTCTCGACCTTTATCTCAATGTAGGGAAGACAGCCGAATATATATATATATATATATATATATAGTGAGAGAGAGAAAGAATAATGCACTTAATTAATTACAATTAGAGGGAATCTGTTTCGATATTCATTGTAGAATCTGTTTCAATTAGAGGATCACTATTTAAGGAAAATTGGTGGCAGAATGAATACGTCCAAACCATTTATAAAAAAAACATTAAAAAGAAAAAAGAAGTGTGATAAAATTTGGCAAAAAAGGTAGATTTAAAGAAGCTTTTGAAAAATACAAATATGCATGAAAGGAACTAAAGACAGCAAAGTTTGACACGATTGGCCGATACAATTTGAACATGAGACGAGTTAAACGGGTTTGTATTGACTTTAAATGAATTCGGATCATAAACGGTAGACACAAATAACCCGTTTAATTAATCGTATCGTATTTGAACTGAGGTGGTTCAACTGTGTAACCATTTTATACCCGTTTAACTATATATGTCATAAATAAATTTATATTTAGGTTTCAAAATAATTATCTAAATTTGTGTCTTATAATTTATTCTTTTGTAGACTAGAGTGTATTTAATAATTTGGATAGATTAAAACTTATATTTTTCTAATATTTATTGTTTGATTGAGTATTATCAATAATTTGAATAATATAATTTTTTGTTATAATAAATAGGTCATTAAACGGGTTACACGTGTAACCCGTTTAATAAACAGGTAAGGTTAGTGTTGAGAATTTCTGACACGAATATTAAATGAATCGTGTTCAGGTTGAGTTATTTAGTAAAATACTCTTAAACTGATACGATATGATTATGACCCGCAAATACGAATTGTCACCCTTAAAAGAAACTTAAAGAAGCTCATTACAAAGCAAATATGACAAGATTTATCATGTCCAACTAATAGAAACACTTCACTATAGTAAAGAGGTCCCACATCAGTGTAGTAGAGTGGTTTAGAAGGTAAACACTTTGCTATAGGTGTTTGGAGGTTGGCGGAGAGAGATTTAGTTTAGAAGGTAATAGATCATATAATAAAATGGTGTAAGTGTAAGGAATTATTATATATAAATGGTGTTAATATTTATCATTTGAAGGAGTCAAAATTTTTTAATTTTGAAAAAATGAAATTGACTAACATGCTGACATATATGAACATAAAAAAATACTGTTCATTTGTCTAAAGTTACCTTTTTTAAGTACATAGATATCACTTTTTGTGCACGCATATATCACTTTTTGTCATCAAGTACCATTTTTATTTTGGATATAAATAGAAGTACCATTTTTATCCACATAGATACTACTTTTTGTGCACATATATAAGTACTACTTTTTGTGATGCACCCAATTAAGCATGCAAGGAAAAAGACATTGACCATGATGGAGAGAGCACATTTGATGTACTTCTCCATTGAGTTGTTCATATCCTAACCCTAGCTCCATTTTTTTTTTTTTTTTTTTTTTTTTTTTTTTTTTTTTTTTTTTTATCCTGAATGATAGAACAAAAACACACACTTTTGCTCACGTCCGAGTTCAAACCCATCCATTTTCTTGTCTTTGAGGATAGAAAGGTTATATTGCTAGGCAAAAGATTCTTTGGCCCAACTCCATTCATGTTGATAGTTGGTGTTCAAAATTGATTTTAGATAATTGGAAAAAGTGGAACCAAAACGAACCATGTTATTGACACGCGTGATTTTAGATATTTGGAAAAAGGTGGAACCAAAACGAACCATGTTTGAGGTCCGTGATGTCGGATTCTCGATTCTTTGTTGGTTGGCTACCTTGTCTTTGTTTTATTTTATTTTATTTTAATTTGAAGTGTACTGGCTTTTTAAAAATAGAACGCAAGCACGAAACCAAGTTGAGGATTCCCTTTGTTTTTATTTTGAATGTAAAGGAAGAAAGATACCTGATATCCCATTCAATGCACGTATAGACATAAAAATTTTTACTCAATTTGTCTTAATATACAAAAAAATTGAGAATTTATATGTCGATGGAATGCCACTGGTAAATATTCCGAGGCATTTTATACTTTCTCACATTTAAGATTGTCCTCCACAAATTTTCATTTCTAGGACATGTAGGAAGAAGAACTTACGTACTCATTAACTTGCACAAATGTGCTTCTCTCTCTCTTCCCCTAATTGTCTTTGTGTTTGCTTTTAAGACCAAGTGATCTCTTATAATTTTGCGGGATAATATATTTATACAATTTTTTGAAAAATAGTCGACATAAAAAATTAATACAACAAAAAAGCTGATTGGGGGCATTGGATCGATCCAAAGCTCCAAACAAAAAGTTCCCCGACAAGAAACTTTAACACATTCCATTTTGTGAGATAAATAACATATCATTAGAGTATAACCTTTGGTAATAATATAATAAACTGATCTACATATATATATTGTAAACCATAAGGATAAAATTATGCTGGATAACAAATAATTTTGCTAGAAGAGTCCATATGTTCCTTGAACTTGAATAACACAATTCAGAAATAATACATAATTTATTGAGATAGTACACAACACAGAGATTAAAAGCAAAGTGTACACAAAGTTCATATTGAACAAAGATACACAGAGATAAGTAAACATATATATGATTCACGTACGTACTTCTCCTTATTTTTATAATCCATCACACATTACATGGCATCACTCAGAGTCCCTCTTCACTACTTTTAGGAACTTACCCCCATTTTTTTTTTCTTTTTTTTGGGGTAAGAATGAAGTTACATACATATATATTCCTATATAGTAGCTTCATTACGTAGGTGCATGAATTAGGGTCTTTAGAGAACACCTTTCTTTGAAAAACAACAAACAAAAGTAGTAATACACGACCCTTAAAAACAAATGGAGAAGTTTATATATAGTAGGGTACGTACGTAATAATTATGTAGGCACAGCTTCAAATAATCCAGATACCAAGGTGGCAACTTGACCCACCGTGGATGGAAGTATGTTGAGAAGGTTAACAGCTGATCGAAGGGTTCCAGTGGGAGGCGAAACGTAGCAATTGAGGAGCGGAAGGTTGACATTAACGGAGCATGCGGATGGATCAAAGAGAAGGCCATCGACGGCGTTAAGAACGACGTTAAAGAATCCGGTGGTGTTAGTCACGGCTTGGCCAAGGTTAGTTTGGGACCCATTGCAAGATAAGGTCAGGACAGCTCCAGCCACACCAGGAGTCGAGGAATTTCCATTTCCATTGATGGAACAAGCAACGCGGCCAAGTACGTTGATTTGTGCCATGACAAGGTTAGTGAGGGTGATGGAGCCATGAGCCATTGGGGTTGTGCTAGCAATTAACACAACACCAAACAGGAAAAAGAACATGGAGGAGGAAGGATAAGCCATTTCTACTGTTTGTTAGTTGGGTTTTTATAAAATGTACGTCTAGGCTAGGTTTGCAGAGGAGTTGTGTCCAAAATGTAGAGGGGAGACCCTTATTTATAAGGTTCATTCTACCAACCTCCAAAGTTTGGTCTCTATTCTTTTAGGGTGTGTTTGGATAAATAGAGGAGAAAAGAAAAAGAAAAGAAAAGAAATGATAATATTAGTTAAGAGAGAAAAAAAAAAAGATATTAATAGTTTTTATTCGTATTTGGATAGATAGGGGAGAAAAGAAAAAAAAATGATAGTTATACTTATTTTGGATAAGATAGAGGAGAGGAAAGAAAAGAAATAATAGTGACTAAATTATTGTCTTACTCTTTCATAATTACTTCACATATTATCCATTTCTAAAATCTCACATAGAATATTTTGGAATATTTCTTTCTGTTAGTTCAATATAATGGATAAAAATAAAAGAAAAAAAAGAAAAAGAATTAAGAAAAAAATGCAAATGGTGAAGCTTCTTATGTCACATATAGAACTAATCATTCATCTTCGCCACAACCCAAATTAAAACCACAGATTCAGACATTACAATAGCACTAGTTATGCAAAAAAATAATAATCAATTGCAAGATCATTACCAAAAATCTGACATCGCCAATATATGTAGACACACAGAGTCACACACTGCACAGCACACATTCAATATATATATATATTTATATTTTTTTAAAGAAGTAGCCCCATATAAAGAAACCCCCTTCATGTATCACAAAATAATTGCTAGTCACTGAAAATTAATAAGAAAAATAATAAATTCATTTATCACAAAATTATTACTAGTCACTGAAAATTAACAAGAAAAACAAGAAATTCATCTATGACAAAGTTGAGACATAAATGGAATAATTTTTATGTATATTGATTTGTAGAGGGTATTTTTGATATTATTAATTAATCACTTACTCCACTATCCTTTCTCTCCTTATCTTCTTAAATTGGGAGAGAAACCAAATGAGGGATACTCTATTCCTCCCTATCATCTTTTTTCTCTCCACTTAACCCACCCAAACACACTTTCACCCTATCCTTTCTTTTCTCTCCCTATCCCTTCAAATCAACCCATCCAAACACACCTTAGTATTTTCTTTTCTTTTTATTTTCCCCCACCCCACTCTACTAATACGATAATGATTTGCTAGATTTTTAGGTAGTAGGACATGCCATCTTTATTTATTTATTTATTTATTATTATTGTATTTGTTTTCATATTTATATAAGGTTTTGCTATTCAAAATATATAGGATTAAGTAAAAAAAATGCTCCTGTGATATACAAAATGTGCAATTAACCCGACTATTTCAATTTGTGCAAGTAAGGACATTATGTCAATTTAGTAATTGAAATGTGAAATGTCTAAAATACTCATTTAGTAAAAAAAATAAATAAATAAATAAAAAGTCTAAAATACTCTCATAAAAAAATTAATAATGAACAAGGAAAATGTTTGAAATAAAAATAATAATAATGAAAGAAGAAAAAATATTTGGTACGTTTGATATGTACATTTATGTTGCAGATGTAGCGGACAGTGGGGTATGGGTTGGAATGGATTTTGGCTACTGTGTTTGGATTACTATGTGGGTTATGCGACAGGCAATCATAAGCTAGATGCCCCTCTGTAATTTTCACAATATTATTTTAGAATGAAAGTGGGAATAGTCATTAGATGCCCCTATGTAACAAGTTACTTTGGGAAATCAGGAGTTAAATGATTTCTCTTCTTTTCTTTTATAAGATTTTGGGATTTTTACACATAAGTGGGATTCATATTAAATATTTGATTGAGTCAAAGGCTGGAAGTTTTAGAAAAATAAAGTTGACCTAATAGTGGATGTGGACTTGAAGTTTTAGTATTCATTTTTAACCAAATTATCTTATTACCCCCATTTTTTTATTCACTCACACAAAAATTTTAAGTAAAACTGGTTTGGGCTACACAATTCCAAAAGCCAAATGGCCCTTGTCTCCCTCACTACCACATGGACGAGCTGCAGTGACGACAACAAAGCATAGACAAGTCTCGCGGCGACGGTGGCGGCGAGGCTTGCGTGCAACGATGACTGTAGATGATTAGGATTTCTTCCTCGCTTGAACAAATTTGTTGCAACTTCCGGCGATGACACTCTGCAACTTCCGGCTACATAAAACAACGATGAAGCCCCAGTAATTTTCTCAGCGATATTGACGCAAGGGAAAGACAACGAATATATCATCTCCGTCAGTGTGTGGTTGGCCTTTGTCAACAAACCCACCACCGAAACAGTCATCAATCCTCCGATTTGCTCCATCCAATACCCAATCACTAAATTCCACGGCCACCGAGCCAACACCATATCACTCTTAATTCCTCCTCAATCGCCCTCATCATCAACCCCATACCCAACCTCTCAATTGTCACCCGAGGACACGACCATGGATCACGATCTTGATCCGACCCACAACGAACGGCGGTCACGAACAGCTGATTCCGGTCACGAACGGCATAAGACAATGAACGGCGGGCACGACGCTCCTAGAACCCATTTCCACGACCACAGCCCGATCTTGATTCGACCCACAGCGAACGGCGGGCACGACGGTCCGAGCTCTGCGGCGCCGCCTTTGTGGTGGTGAAATGGTTAGGGGATAGCAAGGTGATTTGGATCAAAAGTAAAGGTTATTTTAGGCAACAGATTAGATTAAATAGTGAAACTTCATGTCCACGTCAGCAATTGCGTCCTTCTGCTGAACATATTTGTTAACTTTTGGATGTGAATATGGTTTGCTCACAGAAATTATTGCCACCAAATGAAGTTCATATTTTTTGTTATGCAAGGACCAAAATTTCGGATGACTAAGCGGGTGAGATTTCCTTAACTCTGGCTTTGACTCCATGTTTCCCAAGTATGGACTCCTCAAAATATGAGTAAGAAAATAATGCTTCACATGATTTCCCAATGGTTGGAAGGGAAGATTGTGTTTCTATTGTAGAGAGGGAAAGAGAGAGAAAATAAAATGAGATTCTTAGGAGGGCATTTTGGGATATTCATAAAAAAAAGTTTGGTCAAAATTAATGATTAGGGACAATTTGTTCAAAAGATGAATAATACATGGAGTTATATGCAATTTTTTTTTTTAATAAGGTATTTCTTAGGGATAGATTTGAAGCGAGTTTCCCCAAATCCCGCCCCGCCCCGCCCCTTTTAATTTTTGTCAAGTCCATGCCCACCCCATTGCGAAATACTGTGCCCCATGCCCTCCCTGCTAACAAATTTTTTTCTCCCACTTTTTGGAACTTAAGCTTCTGCTATTTAAATGTGGAAAGTCTGGAAATGACACAACATAAATGAAATTATGTATTCCAACAAAAATAAAAAAATAACATGCGCATAACATAATTCAGAGAACATAATAAATAAAAATAAAAGTTTAATACAACTAAATCACAAGGAGTTCTAAACTCCAACTTTCACCATAATCAAAACAAAAACAAATTTAATACCAAATTTACATCCCAAATTAGGATTGTAAGCTGGGTAAGCCGCTAAAATAAGTTATTAATATTATATATATATATATATATATATTAAATATAGTTATATGCTTAGCGTGACAGGGCGGGGCGGGGCCCTAGGATATGTATATTGAACCCTTACCTGCCCCATGACCTACGACGGGTACAAAATTTGTATCCATGCCCGCCCCAATAGTATAAAAATTGTTCCCATATACGTTATTAACGGGGCAATAAAAATTGACATCTCTAGTATTTCTTGCACATTTTTTGTATAGTAAGAAAGTTTCTTACCCTTAACCCAAATATATATAATATTATTATTGTTGACATTATTACTATTGTACTCTTACTAGGGCAGAGACGTGCAGGGGGCAACTGCCCATGCTGCCCCACTAGAGATATATATTTTTATTTATAAATTTGTAAAAATTGATAAAATGCCTCCCTAAAATTAATAAAATGGCCCCTCTACCCTAAATCCAATATATTTTATTTTATTTTATGTGTATAATCTATAAATATTTATAAAATACCCGCATAAAATTTATAAATTATCCCCCATAAAATTATTTATTTCTAAAAATTTCTTTAATTCTTTATTCATTTTTCTTCTTATTCTTCTAATTTCTTTTTGTCATCTTCAAAAATTTTTGCATTCTCTTTCTACAATTAAAACCTATTTTTTCCTTCAAAATTCTCTCATATTTTTTTTCTTTTTGTTTTATTTTCTTCTTAAAAAATTCAGCTTTCTTCTTAAAAATTTATTTTTTCTTAATTTATATGCAATAATCTTCTTTTTCTTATTCTTTTTTCTCTTTTTATTTATTTTTTATTCACTTATTCTAATACACTGTTGTTACACTATTATATTTTCAGCCTGTGTGAAAAAATATATATTTTATCAATATTAACATATCCCCTGAACCAAATTCCTGGCTCCGCTCCTGGCTCTTACAATACCTTAGTTTTTTTTTATCTTAGTTAAATTTTTTTTGTTGTTGTTTGGAATCATAAATTACATTTATCTAAAACATATTTATATTTTGAAAATACTTCAAAAAATTTGAAATTTTTTTTGAGGGAACCATGGCCCCCCCCTAGTTCCCTACTAGCTCCACCCCTGACTAGGAAGCCACACTCTATATGCACAAATTGGCAACATAATTTAGTACTAATAAAAGAAAGGCCAGCATAGAGAAGTTGGGTTACATAATTATTACGTACGAAAATCAAACTCCAACCCACTTTACATCCGATCTGATCTGCCCCATATATCCCCTCCTGACTCAGAAAGCATAGACCAATGCCCCAATGTTGCGACCATTGGACGTCTACTAGTTAATAGTTGCACAATGTATTCCTTTTGCCTTACAAAACTCCCACCAAATTACGTACTCCTCCATCCCCAAAAATAATATTCTTTGAAAATTATAATTCACAATTCTCAAAAGTGTAGCCT